TCTTTCTCTCTCTCTCTCTCTCTGTGCCGCTCCACAGCGCTCCTCTCCCTCAAATGTGCCTGTATGGTGGTGCTTTGGTGATGGTCGTGTTTCTCGGTCGCCGTCCTCCTCCTCCGCTGGTGGTGCTTGTGCGCAGAACAAGCTGCACGACTGGGCTCGCTTGCTCACTCACTCTTGCACACTTTGCTCGCGAGGCTCGGGAGAGGGTGGGGGAGGGAGCAGTGCTAGGATTCGGCAGGCAACAAATGGTTCTGCAGAACTCATAGTACATTAGGTAGCTGTTCTGTGGAACCGGTGCGAACCGCCTGAATCCCACCACTGCCGTGATGTCCCTCCGCCTATTCAGGTAAGCTTGCTAATCAACCATTAGTGTGCATTCACAGAGGCCATAAGAAGAAAGAGAAGTTACCTACCTGTAACTCTGGTTCTTTGAGTGGTCCTCTGTGAATTCACACTTCCCGCCTGTCCTCCCCTCTTCCGTCACGTCTGTTTCTCCTCTTTTGAGCAGCAGCGGAAATGGGAACTAAGGTAATGGTCATGACGGGTGGACCACGTGGGCTGTGAGGGGCAGTCCTCCAGAATATTCCGAGGCCTCTGCGCATGTGCAGACTAAATCCATTAGTGTGAATTCACATAGGACCACTCAAAGAACCAGAGTTACAGGTAGGTCAATTCTCTTTGTTGCTGTTTGTGAGGATCTGTTGATTGAGGGCATTAGGGCTATCCAGCTAGCTTTCTTAAATTACAAATTGGCAATAATGTAACACAGTGGGACAGCAAATAACTAGTTAATCTTTGTTTTGGTTTTGATATTTGCTGGAAAGTGGCTGATAGGTGTACTGTACCTTCAAAGTGGTAGTAGGCATTCAGTGGTGCCTTGACTTACAAATGTCCCGACTTATGACCATATCGAGTTGCAACCAGCTCCGGCCACAAAATTTTGCTTCAACCTGCAGCTGGAGCTTTGAGTTACAACCAGGAAAAGGCAGGGGGAAAAGGCGGGCAATTCAGATTACTAACCATTGGTGGTGAAGAGGCTGCTTCTTTGTAACTCTTTCACCCCAACAGTTAGAGCAGGGTTCAGGGAACTTTTTAATCTTTTACAGTACCCTCCAAAATGTATGTACAGTATATCAACATAACCCCCTTGCTTCAAAAGGAAGGGAGCGGCCGCTGCAGCCCCAGGAAAGGGATGCAGCAGTGGGGTGAGGTGGTGGCAGGGGCATCCCTCGGTGCTCCTCACCACTCTCCGCAGGGCTGATGGCACCGCTGCTGCTGGGTCCTGGGCCTTGGCAGGGGGGGGCCCATCCCAGCTCCTGGAGGAAGGGTCCTCCCGTGCCTCCACCTCCTCCTTCCTGGTGGGGCTGCACTCAGTCCTTGGCCCCACGGGGGTGGCTCCCCTTACTCACCAGTGGGCAGCTCCTGGGTGGCCATTGAAGAGCAGCAGGTGACTCGCCCGCTGGGGGCACCTAATGCTTACTCCCACTCTGACACCAGCTCCGGCGGTTGCTAGCTGGGGCAGCCGCATCAGGCCTTGGCATCGGGACTCCCGTGGGCCTCGCCATCAAAGCGCCGTGATAGCTGCCAGACAGAGGGCGAGAGGCTTCACCAGGCCCGGCCAACCAGCGAGGAGGTGGCGCCAAAGGACGTTGTGCGGCCGGACGAGTGCTACTGCTGCCCAACGGACTCCAATGGGGACAGCATGGGGGGTGGCATCTTGGCGCCAGGAGGCTGAGCCTGGCCTGGGCTGCCATTGTGGCCACTCCAGCCCCCCTACGCTGTGACCCACCTCTCCAGGTGCTGGAAGGAAAGGCTCTTCCTGGCGGGGACGCTCCAGCTGCTTGCCCTGGCCTTGCCTTACGTCTTGCCTGGCCCCGTTGCCACCGCCTTCACTGCCCTACATCACTAGCCGAGGCCCATCATTGGCCGCCATCTGCCGTGGCTCGGTTGCAGCTCGGTTCCCTGACCACTGGGTTAGAGTGAGTGCAATCGGAGGAGGCTTGGGACTGCCTGGTAAGGTAAGGTGCTTTGGGATTTTTTTGTGCTCTTTTTTGCTTGTTCTGGGTGGGTTTTGCAGGGTGGGTTTGGGCTCGGGGGTTTATGTTTCTGTGCTGTGTTGTTGTTTTGTTTTTTGGTAATTTTTTTCTAGTCCCAGCATGGGGCTTACCCCAATGTTTATTTTTGGGTTTTTTGTTTTTTGCAGCTGCAGTGCCTTTGAGCTTGCTCTATTTTTTGTTGTTATTGTTGTTGTTATTGTTATTGTTATTTATTTGCAGCCCCATGTGTTCCTATGGGGCTTGCAGTGTTTTATTTGGGGGGGGGATTTTTTTTTTTGCCGGGACTAATGCATTCCTATGGGAAATGGTCCTTACAATCATTTTTATTTACATCCATCTTCTGGAACAGATTATGGTCGTAAGTCAAGGCACCACTGTAGCTTGTTCCAATAATGCCGTTATTCATTTTGACATGTTCAGGTGAGCCTCAGTAAATAGGATACTTCCTATTCTACTGATAAGCAATAAAAGGGAAATACTGTACAGTTAGTGTAAGTTCCTCCACTTTCAGGAGGAAGATGTGAGCTTGCCCTTTTACATTGAGAGAGGATAAATCAAAATTTCTCCTCTTTATTACCTTCAGTATTGGTGCTTTTTTGTTGCAATAAAGAATGGAGCATTAATGAAAAAGAATCTTCTGGAAAGGAACTTCTTTAATATTTTGCTGATATGTAAAACCTTGGTGCTAAGATTTTCAGCTAAACCTGTAGTATCACTCAGTGAACACAGTATATTGAGAAATACGGAAATCTCCTATGAATTAAAAAAAAAATCAAAGCTACATCTGAAATTACGATATTAAAAATACAGTGGTGCCTCACTTGATGAGGATAATCCATTCCAGCGAAATCACTGTAGAGTGAAATTGTCAGCAAGTGAGGGAAAAAATCCCAATTGAAACGCATTGAAAACCGGTTCAATGCGTTCCAATGGGCGAAATACCTCAGCGTCCAGCGAAGATCCTCCATAGGGTGGCCATTTTCCGATCCCTGTTAAGCGAAAAATCTGTCCTAAAAACAGCCGGGGAGCCATTTTGCACAGCGGGCGGCCATTTTGAAACCCAACGATCAGCTGTTTTTAGATCGTCGTAATGCGAAGAATCGGTTCCCGAAGCAGGGAACCGATCGTCGTCAAACAAAAATCGCCCTTTGAAACATCGTTTTGTGATCGCAATAGTGATTGCAAAAACATCATTGTTTAATTTTATTTATTTATTTATTTATTTATTTATTTATTTATTTATTTATTTATTTATTTATTTATTTAACTTATATGCCACCCACACTACCCGAAGGTCTCTGGGCGGCTTAATGAGGTAATCGTAAAGCGGGGCGCCACTGTATGTTGGATTACTTCACAGAATACCTGCTTTAGTAACTTTTTTAATTTCCTAGGATATGTTGTCATTCCCTTTTTTCCTCACTGGCCTGTGCAATCAGATATATTCTCTGTGAAAATAATTGTATAAACTTTTAGCAAATAGTGAAATATTACACTGTTGGTTGATATGGGAATAATTTTTAAAATAAACCATAGATTGGTTGTTGTAGGTTTTTCGGGCTGTTTGGCCATGTTCTAGAGGTTTTTCTTTCTAACATTTCACTAGTCAGCATCTTCAGAGGACAGGATCTAGAATTCTATCACAGAATTCTAATTCCTGTCCTCTGAAGATGCTGGCCACAGAGACTGGTGAAATGTTAGGAAGAAAAACCTCCAGAGCATGGCCAAACAGCCCGAAAAACCCACAGCAGCCATCAGATCCTGGCCGTGAAAGCCTTTGAGAACACATTGAAACCATAGATTATTGTGATTTTTCCTGTTAGCTCATAGTATAGGATTTTTGTTTTGGCCAACTGGGTCATTTTGATACATTTTTTAAAAGAAATGTTTAGGTGAGCTCATTAATGGTGGCTCATATTTTTATGTTAATTTTTTGTAACAAATATTAATTTATTTATTCAGTTTGTATTCTGCTCCCAGTAGTGTCGAGGCACTACACATATCATAGAAAACAAAAATAAAAGTAGAAACCTAAAAAAGAGTAACAATAATCCTAAAACCAGATGGCACTGACTAATCATATAAACCCAGAGCAGATGGAGGAAAAAGCTGGGGGGAATTAAAACTGCTTCATTACTCTAATGTCTTTTATAATGTGACTTCTGCGGTTGAATAGAAACTACTGAATAGAAACTGTGTTTATTCTGTGTTGGCAAACTTACATCCTTTTTCTCCCCTTTCCGTTTTTGGAAGTAATTCATATATATATAAAGTTATTTGTAATTAATTCTTTTTTCCATTACTGACAGTATAACTAACATTATGGTTGAAATCCTTTTCTTTAGAGTAAGCAACATATTGCATCTAGTTTAAACAAATGCAAAAAATAACCACTACATAAGAAACTTTCTGCAAGCAATTTTAAGCCTCATTTGAGAAACAGAAAAGTAAATACTTGTTTCTTTTAAAAATGTAATTGGGATGGTAACTTACTGATGTCTTAAAGCTATAATGTTAAAGGTGGGCCACTAACAAATACGGTAATGATGTATGAAAGAGATGGTTTTATAAGCTTTATCTACTATGAATGTAGAAATGTAACAGTTAATTTTCCCCTTTGGAAGTAATAATGTCTCTATGCCACCTGGAGGCAGGATTACTTTAATGTATTTATTTATAAATGAAATTATTTAGGAATAATTTCTGTGTCTGAAATAGATAGCTCTGCAGTAATGTCAACAAAATCCTAGGATTTTTTTTTGTCGAGTGTATGGTTATGTCATGTCTTAAGAAGAACAAAGTGGTAGAAAGTAGAGAGGAGAAGCATAAATGTCAAAGGCTGCATGGAACATATTCATTTTCTTTCTTTCTTTCTTTCTTTCTTTCTTTCTTTCTTTCTTTCTTTCTTTCTTTCTTTCTTTCTTTCTTTCTTTTTGGCCCTAGGAATCTGAGGCACAACTATGATAGAAGATAAGGGCCCAAGAGTTGTAGACTACTTTGTAGTGGCAGGACTCACTGATACTTCAGCTCTTCTGGATCAAGAAGTCAATCGCTCTGAAACAAAGTCAGGTGGTCCAAAGGCACCAATCACAGACCTTGCTGTCATAATCAAGTCAGTGGGTGAAACTGTTCCTGAGGGATACACCTGTGTCGAAACAACACCTACAGCACTTCAAGCCAATTTGAACTATGGGAGTCTTAAAAGTCCAGAAATTTTTCTTTGCTACAAGAGGAGCAGGGACAAGCCACCTCTTACTGACATTGGGTGAGCTGTCTTATAGGTCATGGGCAGCAGAACTGTGAAATGACGAAGGTCTCTGTGTCAAATTGCATTTCTGAGAAAGACATTTTTTCATGTTGGTTCTGGAAATCTGCTAATGTATTTCATCCAGCACTGGAAGTATTTGAAACCAGTGCTAGTGAGGATTATACAGTTCAAAAAATTAGATTGATTTCTGAAGCACCCAGGATCTGTTTCTGTGGTGTATGATATTAAATATGTCATTTTCCTTGGAAGTAAGTCACCCCCTCTTAAATCAACATGGAATTTATTTCTTAGTAACATTTATAAGATTGTACACAAAATCAAAGGTCACAATACAGCTTTTTTGGGGGTATTGAGAGTTACATATTTTTCCCGGGCAACCTTTAGGTGTCATGGGTGAGTGCCCAGGGGAGATTATGTTATCCATTTGATAGTGTGTATGTGTCCTAAATTGAGTGTTTTAATGCATGAAGTTCCATGGAATGTTCTGATGGACATATAACCTTGGCTTCAATTTTAAATTTAGTAATCAATCAGAAGGGAAGCAATATTGGCTATCAAGGGGTGGTAGCAGATTTTTATCTATTTTATTTCCCCCAACATGAAATGTTGGGGGCAATAAAATCGCTCCTAACATGAAATGTGTATGGGGAATGTGTGTCTCTCCAGATGTGGTTGCACTGCAGTTCTATTGCCCTTTGCCATTATTATTTATTTATTTATTTATTCTTTGCATAATTTGGGGCTGGTGGAACAGTCTGTAGCATGGTGTGTCCCTCATCCCAGTTGTAATCTAATGTGATATACCAGATTTGTGTAGCTGTGTGAATGGCAGAAGTGACTGGCATATGAGCTTTCATAGACCTTTCTTATCAAGTTGAAAAAGATCTTGGAATGATATACAGGACATCTGGAGTGGCTATGCCTCATGCAAACCTGATGGCAGATATTACTGCTACACAGAAACAGTGGGCTAAATTTGATACTGGTGGGTTATACTAGGCTGCCAACACTTAATTGCTGTTTTGATGGTATATTTTGCTTAATGATGCAGTGCCACTTAGAAAAATGTGACCAAGTGATTATTCTTGGAATCTGGACTACTAGCAAAATGAGTCTGCAGCAACAATTACATATTTGTGACTAGCATGATGAAAATATGGTGTTATCTATATTATTCCATGTAAACACCTGATTAGCCAGATGCAATTTTTGTATGGAACTGGAGTACAGAAAGTGGTATTTATTTCATATTTTTGGACTGCAAGTCGTAGAATTTTTTAATTTTCTAACAATCTACCAAGGTGTCACCACAAACATAAATCGGTGGAACCTAGATTTCACCACTGGTTTAATTTACTCTGACACTGACTTCCAGTTATTTCACCCCCCACTTCCTGCAGTATGTTTCCCAGGAGTCATGGTTCTTGAGGTGGTGCCCTCTATAGAGCCTAATGGGCAGAAAGACTACAACTCTGTGTGTCCTGCATGTCCAGAAGGGACAGGCATCCCGGTTTGTCTCATGATGGTGAGGCTGGTTGACACTAAGGATGTCAGGACTTGTATCTCACTGCCCATTCTGTAGATGATGACTCCCAAAGAATTATGACTCCTAGGAAACACAATGGCAGGAAGTGGGGAAAGGGAGGATATGAAGTCAGTGTCGGAAGTAACTAACCCAAATCCCCTTCCCTACATTTACAAAATCTAGAAGTCTGTTTGCAAGGGATGGCTTCTGTAATTCTGTCTGAAGAATTCTGGGAGTTGCAGTCCAAAAACATAACAGAGCACATCCAGCTGGAGGCTTTGAGATGTTGCACACAACAAACTGCCATCAGCCCCAACCAACCGTTTTTAAAAGATTAGATAAAGTTGTGACTGAAAAGCATGTAACATTTGCTTTAAGATGACAATGATTGTTCCCTTTGATAAAAGTTTTCCTGTAATGTCATTGTTGTGGTGGAAAAATGCATGTAGACATAATCCATTTTACCTTTAGTATTTTCATTGGTTAAAAAGTATTTGAATGTCTGTCAGCAAAAAAGTCCAACTTTTTTGTTCTCTTTCTAGCTATGAAGGCACCGCCACCATAAATCTAGTGGCATCTCTAAGAAGAAGAAGAAAAAATAGCACGTGTTTTTGTGTGGCTTGCAAGTCACTTCTTCACATAGGTAGAATGTGCATTTAAGGAAGTGGGCTATAACCCGTAAAAGCTGGTGATAAAAGACCTGCTAACCTTTATGGATATAGTACCATGCTTTTTTCTTTTTTCTTTTTTTTTTGCTTTTCTTATGCTGAGACAGACTGACCTGGCTACCTGTTTGAAAGCAACTGTAAAAGGGCACACTTTCCATTTTGAAATATCTCATTCTAGTGCCTTTTGCACTTTCTAATAAAGTATGATCTGCTTTATAGAGCAGTTAGCAGGCACGTGGAATTGTCTTGATATTCCTAATTTTGGCAGTCATTGTTCTGCATTGGAGGAGGATACTATTGAGAGGCATGTAACTATATAATACAGTGAGAAGTGACTTCGTATTATACATGTGAAATGTTCATGTTTCAGTTATTCTCTCTTTCCTGCAGAGTTTTATACGAAGGGAAGGAACGTTTAATGCCAGGCTGTGAGGTGATCCAGGCGACTCCCTATGGTCGCTGTGCTAATGTTAATAACAGCTCAGTCACTTCCCAGCGCATCTTTATCACTTATCGGAGGGCTCTTCCAGTGCGACCCCAAAACTCCTTGGCTGTTACTGACATCTGTGTTATTGTGACCAACAAAGGCGAAACCCCTCCTCATACTTTCTGCAAAGTTGATAAGAATCTAAATTGTGGCATGGTGAGAGTAATAATTTTTTTAAAATCTGAAACCCATATAACAACTTACGCAGCAGTGGCAGCTAGAGCAGACACATATGAAATTTGTTGCTGCTGTTTACATGTTCTTCATTTTAGTATTATTTGTCTCCTGTGAGACATTCTTAACTTTCAGTACTATTTGATCACTGTTATTTCCATAACTCTGTATTTCTTCCTTCCTCTGCTGCTGCCAGCATAATATATGTGAGATAGCCAAGTACTTATTTTTCCTCCAAAGAATGAGAGGGGAGTTCAGAAAGTGCTGAACTTTGGAAAGTTGCTGGTGTTCTGCAAGAATTGTGACTCTATAAATAAGAGTTGGGTTGTTTAAATCAGTGGTCCCTAACCTCGGGCCTCCAGATGTTCTTGGACTTCAACTCCCAGAAATCCTGGCCAGCAGAGGTGGTGGTGAAGGCTTCTGGGAGTTGTAGTTTAAGAACATCTGGAGGCCCAAGGTTGGGGGCCACTGGTTTAAATGAAAGTGAAATTTTATTTAACGGCAGAAATCTATTAGTGACGTAAATCGCAGAGGCAAATTGCAGTTAGCTAACAATTTGCTGCATTGTGTACCAAATCATACAGTGGGCATGTGATGAGGAATAGTAGTGGTGGCCAATTAATTGCTGTGTTTCCCTAAAAATAAAGCAGGTCTTATAATACTTTTTGTTCCAAAATGCATGATGGCTTATTTTCAGGGGATGTTTTATCTATTAGTGACGTAAATCGCAGAGGCAAATTGCAGTTAGCTAACAATTTGCTGCATTGTGTACCAAATCATACAGTGGGCATGTGATGAGGAATAGTAGTGGTGGCCAATTAATTGCTGTGTTTCCCTAAAAATAAAGCAGGTCTTATAATACTTTTTGTTCCAAAATGCATGATGGCTTATTTTCAGGGGATGTTTTTATTATTATTATTATTATAACTCACCAGTGCAGTTTACACCATTGTACTTATGTGGGTGTAAATAACCAATGGACTTCTAACCACTGATTATATTTTTCCTTTATTTTCCTTGATGTTGGAAATAAGTCCGGTGACTTTTCAAAAAACACGGAAATGTTTCTGGTGATAAAACCTAGAAATTAAATCCCTTTTCACAGTGATACTACTGAAGTTCAAGGGGAGTAGATCTCAGTTCCACCTGCTTTGTGGGTTCTGCAGCCATCAGTACATGGCCACTGACATACTGTGGAATCAGAATTGTATGGGATTTTGTTTTGTGATGTTTCTTGATTTTTGGTGGTCTGTAGCATCCAGTGGTGGCTTAAAAGTGTTAAGGAGCCATAACAACATAATAGATAACTCTTACCACATATATGTCGTATGCATTCTATTTATTTACACATTTATTTCAAAATCTATCTTCCACTATTAAAATATACAAATATTAAAAATAAAAACTACCTCAGGAATATAAAAAGCAGTATCTGCTGGAAGAACAACAAATTCTATCTATAAACCTTTATTGGCATTATGAACAACAAATTATACAGGTTGGCATAATGTTCTTTTTCCCCACTTAAACGCCAAAGCACTTGCCCATGGAGTCAGTTTGCATATTTGTTGATGAATGATTTATGTACATGTATGAACCAAAAATGGAAGGAGTTGTTGTGGTATGGCCAGTGCTTTTTACTCAGACTTTTATATTACTCTAATATGTTCCTTTACAGTGGGGTTCCAGTGTATACCTGTGCTATAAGAAATCTGTTCCAGCTTCTAACTCACTGGCATATAAAGCTGGTAAGGTATTTATTTTCATGTATTTCAGATGCTTTAACTAGATAGATAGAGATAATCTCTCTCTCTCTCTCTCTCTCTAACACACACACACACACACACACACACACACACACACACACACACACACACACACACACACACGAGTGGCCTTTTAACACAGACTGCTTCTCCAAAAAATGGGTGTGTGTGTGTGTGTGTGTGTGTGTGTGTGTGTGTGTGTGTGTGTGTGTGTGTGTGTGTGTGTGTGTGTGTGTGTGTGTGTGTGTGTGTGTGTGTGTGTAAAATCAGATAAAAAAAAATCCTTGCTGGACCTTACATATTATTCTTTTTCTAGGAAGTTCAGAAAACACGATTCTCTTCTTCTACTCCACCCTCCATGTTTTTAGTAGGGCTTGAAACTTTATGTCCCTAGCACTTTATTTTCTATATCACTTTCAATGATATAGTCAAAATTAACTTAACAGAATATGCAAAGAAAATTAGTTGGATATTGATGCCCCATTATGCCAAAAAGCACCAATTTATGCAGAAATAATTCTCACGGTGTCATGATGGGGCAATTGGGAAAACCAGCATAACTGGGCAAGGTGCTTTTTGCTATTTGCCAAAAAGCAATGATACTGTGACAGTGTTGGTTAATGTTGATCACAAAGTAAAATGCCTGGAAGGGTTTGCACATGTGGAGTAATTGTGTCAAAACAAAGAATGCCACAAAAGCTCAAAAGAATGCCACCAAAAGTTCAGAGGGGACCTGAGAGCAAGCAAGCAAACAAAAAAGACATGTATAGGAGGCGGAAAGAAGGCCAGGTCATCAAGAAAGAGTGCAGACCTAGAGATGGGGGTATTTGTATTCGTATTCCCCACCTGGCTGGATGTAACGAGGATCCAGCCCCCTCGTTAGCCAACCGGGAGCTCCAGAGCGATTAGAAGGGAGAGCAGAGCTGGCGATGGCAGACACGTGAGTAGTCTGGCCCCAGGAGGGAACACCCCCATCTCTAATACTAAGGCAGAGCTGTTGGACTCCAGACTACAGTAGTGGAATCTCTTGAGAGATGATGTTAGGGTTTCCCTATTCCGTGACCGTTGAAAGGATCTTTTGCCACTCTTCTTCATGGAAGGTGATCTTGTAGCCTGCAACAGCATATATGGTGTGATGGCAGCCCTCAACATCGTTCATGCTCCAGATGAGTAGAGATTGTTCATTGATTCATTGAAGAAGAGTCTTAAAGCTATTTTGTCATCAATTCCAGTTGGTCATGCAGTCCATATGAAAAAAATATGACATCATGAAACAACTTTTGAGGTGCATAAATTATGAACAACATCAGTGGCAGCTTTTGTGGCAATTTGAAGGTTGTTGCTCTCTTGCTTGATCTGCAGACTGGATACACAAAATACCGCTGTTTTCTCTATGAATAGGATAGTCGTGCAAGAGATTCCTACCCCATCAAGATAGATTGGCCACTCTAACAGTCATTGGAGCCTGGGAGGAAAATTGTTCAGCATCTATTGCTTGTTGGATCAAGGAAGATTGTGTTACCACCCTTACACATCAAGCTGGGTCTGATAAAATTTTTTGTCAAGGCCATGGACAAAACAAAAGCAACTTTCAAGTACCTTGGTGGAAAAAATACAAGGTTAAGTAAAGCTACGATAAAGGAAGGTGTCTTTGTTAGACCTCAGATTCGTGAACTTTTTCAAGATGATTCATTTGACCATGCACTGTGTGGCAAGGAAAAGACGTCATGGAAAACCTTCTAGTTAATGGCAACAAATTTTTTTGGAAACAAGACAGACAACTATAGGTTGTTGGTGGAAAACCTCCTCAAGGCATACAGAAGTCTTGGTTGCAACATGTCACTGTAGATTTTTTGTACTCTCATCTAGATTTTTCTCTCACCAAATTGCAGAGTAGTGCGCAATGAGCACAACAAGCAATTTCACCAGGACATTGCAACAATGTAGAAATGCTATCAGGGAAATGGAGCTCATCAATGCTTTCAGCCTATTGCTGGAGAGTGACAAGAGATGCTCCATTTAATGAATACAAGAGACAAGCCAAGAAGCACTGAGTAGACGCCGAGTAGGACTAAACTATGTATATAGTAGGGGTTTTCTGTTTTTTGTTCATAATACTGTACATTTTATTTGTATAAGCCTTTTGCTGATTTTTAAAGTGTTACATAAACAGGACAGGTGAAATATCATTATGTAAAGCAACCATAAACACATGAAAAAACTAGGTTTGCTCTTTATGATTAAAACTCTGCTATCTACGGAATATACATATATGTAAAATGTAAAAAATATCTTAGAAACAGTAGTGTCAGGAAATTACAAGGATTGTAATAGAAGAAATTGACATCTTAAACTGAATGTATAAAATAAGTTGTTTATCAGCCATATTGTACAGCTGTGTATAAAGCTGAGTCATGCTGACTAGGCAGAAGGCTGATGTAATCCTTATGAGATCACCTAAGATGAGGTAATGTTACCTGATTAGTCATATGTACTATATATTGTACATAGGAACACACATGTGGTGTGGAGAGATTGGAGATTTGCTAGAGGACATGCTGTTGGACTATTTTGTGAAAACTGTACATATGTAATATAAGATTTAAGGAAGAAGCTGTTGTCTCATGTTTTCTTCTTCGAGGACTTTGGAGGCTGGTTATAACCCTGCTTTGTTCAGCACACCCGAAAATAAATACTTAACAAGTAGCTTAATCAGTTGTTTCAGTTGCCATATTTGAATTCAGCAGATCAAAATACATAATAAATACCACATTTTATCTCTGAAGCAGACAACTTCTAAAAAATTGTAGATTCTCCACAACAGCTTCATAAGGTCCAAATTCTTCACCAACTCCAAATGGGTATGTGCAAAGAACAAAACAAATAAAAAACAAACATAACCCCACCAGCCCAATCCCACCCTGCAAAAGCCAGTGGATGGTGGCGGAGAAAGGCGGTGATTGGGGCAAGCCCCAGGAAAGCCTCCCATGGTGGCAGAGAAGACGTGTGTGGGGGAGAAAGGCGGTCTTGCGGCGAACCCCAGGAAAGCCTGCGGTGGCAGCACTGGAAGCCCAGGAGACTGAGCCCAGGCGGGATGGCTCGCCTCCTGGCAGCGGTAGCAGCAGCGCTGGAAGCCCAGGAGGCAGAGCTTCCCTTTTCCTAACCATTGGGGCGAAAGAGCTACAAAGAAGCAGACTCTTTGCCACCAATGGTTTGAATTTCCCATCCTTTTTTTCCTGCCTTTTTTTGTTCGTATCTTGAAGGTCCAGCCGAAAGTAGAAGCAAAATTTTGTGGCCAGAGCTGTTTGTAAGTTGGATCGTTCATAGGTAGGGACTTCGTAAGTAGAGGTTCCACTGTATAGGTTTTAATCTTGTTCTACACTACACTATTAAAACAGGGTGGCTTTTAATCTTTATTTAGTTTTTTAAAATTAAGCTCAGATGTACATTAGCCAAGAGGTATTCTGTGATCTCCATGTAGAGTACGATAATACCTTCATGTCTTCTATTTCTTTTCTTCTGAAAGGCTTGATATTCAGATATCCAGAAGAAGATTATGAGTCTTTCCCTTTGTCAGATTCTGTACCTCTATTTTGTCTTCCAATGGGAGCTACCATTGAATGCTGGGATCCTCAAACCAAATATCCATTACCTGTATTCTCAACATTTGTTTTGACTGCTTCATCTGCAGAAAAGGTATGTTTGAGTAATCTATTTTCATTTATCATGCTCACTTAATTTTCACTTTTATTGATTGATGAGGGGGACTTGTACTGTACTTTGTTTTGTGGAATCATCACATTGCATACTTATTTGATGTAATTATGATTGGATCCAGATGTTGACATGTTTAAAGTAAGTGTATTGAAATCAATGGGCCTTAAGTTTAACATCCCACTGATTTGGTGCATCTACTCAATAAATGATTATGTCAGGAGGCAGAGCTTTGTCGCGGTGAAGCGAGCAGCTGCTGGGAACAGCTCCCGGGAAAAACCTGGAACCGCCCGGTCTGGGGTCCCTCTAGAAATAGGGGGATCGAAGGGGAGACCAGGAGAGGTCTCTCTGAAGCAGTTGGTGAGCCCCAGAAGGCAGAAAATTGGGCAGCAACCTGATTTTTCTTCCCTCTGAAAATTCACCCAAGCACAGATCAGAGACTGGAGCAATTTTTTGGCAGAATAGCTGTGAGTAACTCCACCCCCATTCCCCGAGGAGAGGAGAACAAAAATACGGCTGAAAATATACAACAACAAAGAAAGCCTTTGATTTATGAATAACCTCATTAAGATGAAAAAGAAACTAGAGTGAAAATACCTGACCGAAAGAAGAGAAGGAGCGGTGAGTCGTGCTTGCCAGCCTGCTTTTTCAAAGCTAAATGGACTCTTAAACAGCAGGCCGGCTCAAGTTCAAACAAAGAGACAGTGAGATGGAAAAATTTTGTGTTTCTGGAAAAAATCCCAGAGAAAATACTACTGGACAGGCGTTAAGGGACTGAAATTTTGTGAGTGCTATTTAGTCTGGATCTTTTTCCCTAGACTATGTAGGACTCTGACAATAAAATCTTGCTTGGGCTAAAAGTTCAGCTATATATTATAATATCTGGGTAAGGAGGGGAGGACATACTCAGGGGAGGTGCAAGATGATGGGTTTGGTTGATAAAATAGTGGAAACTAAAAAGTATTTATACAAACCATATGCATTGTAAAGATGGAAATGACGTCCAAAAAATTTAAATATCAACTGTTGGGGATTTTGCCAGACAAAGAATTGGCAGGTTATTATCATTGGCAGGTTACCATGCCAATGATAATAATAATAGGATTTCAGGAGGTAAATGAGCATCTCAACCAGGTGGAAGATCTGATGAAAGAGAAACCATCAGATGTTAAACAACAGTTAAAGGAAACTGTACTAACTCCAGAACAGTCTTCATTGAGTGCGATGCTAGGTAACATAGATGGGATTAAGAGTTACCTGGTGAGCTATTCAGCTACAGCAGTCAGAAAATGTTTTGTTAAAAATCAGATTACTGTTCTGGATTCAACCTTATCTCCCCAAAACCAGGAGAAAACAGAGTCAATGAAACAAGAGAAGTGTACTGAGAAAATATGGGAAGTGATAGAAATGGATACCTTTTTGGGCTTGCTGAATGTATGTCCAAGACAGAAGGAAATTGAAAGAGGGGATGTATTTTATAATTGGTTTCGGTTCTCTGGTAGTGTTGGAGTAACTTAGATTTAAACTAAAACATAAATGTAAGCTGATAGAGGGTAATCAAACAGGTAAAAAAAGTAGAATGTTGATTTTTTACTGACAAATGAATAGATTGGATACTTGTATACTTAATATGAATAGATTGGAAAAGGCTTCGGGAGTCAACCTCAACGCAAAATCCGGAACTGGAGTCCTGAAGGCAGTTCGTGTCATTCTGTCAACTCCTGCGACGTCGCTGAAACCAGTTGTATTGGCTCTTGCCTTGCCAGGGGACTATTTTGGTGACGTGGAGAGGGGGGATTTGCTGCTTGCTGGGGTAACAGCCTATCCTCCATATTATATTACCCAGGCTTCGTGCCCTGGTGAGGACACTGCAGCTTCGCGAACAGCATCGAAACACTAGACGCTGTTCCAAGACCTCCATACAGAGCACGTTACCATAGTCTCTCGAGACTGAAGGATGCCTATGATGTGGATGATTGCATATTCTGTGCTCTCCTATCCTTAAAACCCTTTTCCCATCCCTTCCATTTCCCCTTACCTTTTATATTCCCTACCCTATTCCTAGTAGTTTAAAAATAAAATATAAAAACATAAATAAATGAAATATACCACCAGTATTTGCTATAGTAGATTTCAAAATGCTCAGAACAACCTAATAAGAAAAAATGGAAAGCAGTTTATTTAAGGTTAGAAAATATATCATACATGAGCAGCAGTATTTAGACGCAGGATATGAAGATAGGTAATAAAAAAATAAGAGATGCAACATGCTATTATTATTGACATCTCCCCATCAAATCTTTTTATATTCCTGTTAGCTGGAAACATGGGGCCATGTGCCATATACGGTGGTGCCTCGACTTATGAACTTCATTGGTTCCGGAAGATGGTTGTAAGTCGAAGCACCATTTCCCATTGAAATGCAATTAATCCATTCCAGCTGAAGAAAAAACTCACAAAAAATCACTGCAAGACTAGTTGGAAATGCAATTTATCCCTTCCAGTTGAAGTGAGAGGGGGAGAGAAAAGCAATCAAGCGCGTAAAACCCATTGGAAATGCACAGAAAACAAATGGAGCAGATCAGAAATGCACAGAGAACAAAGAGACCAGGTTGGAAATGCACAGAGAACAAAGGGAGCAGATCAGAAATGCACAGAGAACAGTTCGGAAATGCACAAAGGGGCAGTTCAGAAAAGCAAAGAGAACAAAGGAAAAAGCAAGGGAAGATGCAAGACTCATCGGAAATGGGGGAAAACCCCAAAAAGCAACCAACCCCCCCCAAGACCCATTGGAAATGGGGGAAAACACTCCAAAAAGCAACCAAACCCCCAAGAACCATCGGAAATGGGGGGAAAAACAAAAAACAAACAAACCCCCCAAGACCCATCACAGCACAGAAGCATGACCCCCGCAGCCCAAAACCATGGTGCAAAAACACTCAGAACAGTTTTTAAAAAGCAGGAAACAGCACCTTACCTTACCACGCAGCCTTCTCTGATCGCACACTCTTAACCGCTCGGGCGAAAGAGCTACAAAGAAGCAGCGTTGTCACCACCTACAGTTAGAAATTTGAATTTCCCGCCTTTTCCCCCTGCCTTTTTCTGTTCGTAACTGGAAGCCCCGGCCGCAAGTTGAAGCAAAATTTTGCAGCTGGAGCTGGTTGTAACTCGAAATGGTCGTAAGTAGGGACGTTTGTAAGTCAAGGCACCACTATATTACTTTCTGTCTTGGTAGACACTAAACCACTTGGGAAAACAAGCCTAAAGTTATACAAGAAATTTCACTGATGAATATGACATGTTACTTGTATTGCTATGTCTCATACATGTGGTTGCAGAATCACCATTTTATCTTGTATTGCTGAGTGAATTTTGTGGATGCAATCTTCAAAAACCTTTGAAAGTTACATGTTGAACACCACAAAGTATCTCTTAAGTTAATTACGCAGGTGATGAGTGTTGGGGTAATACAAATATTTTATCTCCCATTTTGTGTTTTTACACCTAAGGTACATATAGTTTGCAGAATTTAGGTTAAAGTATTTTTTAAAAAAAACCCAAAAACCAAAATTATGCTCTGTAACTGTTTAACTAGGTTGTTATAATGTAGCTTAATTAAAAATAGTCAGAGCCTGCATTATGCTTGGGATCTTAACTGCCATCTAGGAGCAACTGAATGTTGCTTTTGCCTTCTGCATGTATAGCAAAGCAACAGGATTTCAGTCAGTAATTGATTCAGTGGATCTACGTCTTTTTTAGATTAGATTGAGAGACAATGGTAACGTGCTCTGTATGAAGGACTTGGAACAGCGTTTAGTGTGGCTGACAAGGCCAGCTTGAGAGTGACAATCCCTTCCACACTGAAGGCCAGTTCGAGCGTGACAATCCCTTCCCCTGTCCAGCTCCCTGATTTTGCTGATTTCGTGACCGCCTCTTTGCCTCGGCCTGCTGGACAAGGGTCTCTTCAAATTGGGAGAGGCCATGATGCAATGCCTGACTCCAGGCTGAACGCTCATATGTCAGGGTTTCCCATCTGTTGAGGTCCATTCCTAAGGTCTTCAAATCCCGCTTGCAGATATCCTTGTATTGCAGCTGTGGTCTCCCTCTGGGGCGATTTCCCTGCACTGATTCTCCATACAGGAGATCTTTTGGAATCTGACCATCAGCCATTCTCACGACATGCCCAAGCCAACGTAGACGTCACTGTTTCAGTAATGTATACATGCTAAAAATTCCATCTCGATCTAGGACTACTTTATTTGGAACTTTGTCCTGCCAGGTGATGCCAAAAATGCATATGGGAAGTTTTCAGCTTCCTCTCCTGCTGTGCACAAAGGGTCCAAGGAGTACAGGGGTGTGCTCAGGATACAGGCTCTATAGACCTGTCAGCTTCTTACTGAGCCATACTTTTTGTGAGTCTAGAGAACATGGTAGCCAATGTGTTTATCCAGCTCGACATCTAGGGAGAGAGTGTTAGAGATCGTGAGCTAAGGTACACAAATGCATGAACAACCTCCAATTCTTGTGTGGAGATGGTAATAGAGGGAGGTGAGTCCATGCCCTGCCTCATGACTTGCGTTTTCTTCAGGCTGATTGTTAGTCCAAAGTCTTGGCAGGCTTTGCTAAAACGATTCCTGAGTTGTTGGAGGTCTTCAGTAGAGTACATTTGATATCATCTCCATACCAAATCTAGGCTGGTGAGAGCTTGAAATAATGGAAGACCCACTAAGAGCCCCACAATGATACAACTTCATCAAGCAGGCCTAGTTTTTGACCAAACTCTGGGAGGCAGTGGAAGACAGGAGGGCCTGACGTGCTCTGGTCCATGGGGTCACGAAGAGTTGGACACAACTTAATGATTAAACAACAACTTCTAGTTGAGACTAGCAATAAGATACTGGGCCTGGTTGATGAAGTTGTGCCATTGTGGGGCACTTAGTGGGACTTCCATTCTTTCAAGCTCTCACGAGCTCAGATTTGGTATGGAGATAGTATCAAATGTATTTGGTTCAAGCTGTTTGAGGTCACTTGAATCTTTAATAGTACTTGTTGTAGTGTTCTCCCTATTATGTTAAATAGTCATGCAATATTCATGTTGTGGGCTAATGTTGCTCAGAGGCGGAGCCGAGAGATATGTAAAAAGAGTCAGAGTCAGAGGGAGTCAGAGGGAGATGAGAGTGGAGAGGATAGAGTGTGGTATTTGGGAGATCTGAGGGTTGATTAGTCAGACGAGTGAATAGTAACTGTAAGATCAAATAGAAGATTGTTATTGATGATTGAGAAACCTGAAGAAGATACTTATGAATGATAATCAAAACATCTGTAACCAATAAACTTTTTTTTATTTAAAAGAGAGGGACGTGGTGGCACTGTGGGCTAAACCACAAAAGCCTGTACTGCAGGGTCAGAAGACCAGCAGTTGTAAGATCGAATCCACGTGACGGAGTGAGCTCCCGTCGCTTTGTCCCAGCTCCTTGCCAACCTAGCAGTTCGAAAGCATGCAAATGCGAGTAGATAAATAGGTACCACCTCGGTGGGAAGGTAAAACAGTGTTCCCTAGTCACGCTGGCCACGTGGCAAAGGAACCTGTCTTCGGACAAGCGCTGGTTCTACGGCTTGAAAATGGGATGAGCACCACCCCCTAGAGTCGGACACGGGGAACTTTTACCTTTTTATTTAAAAGACAGTGAGGTTTAGACCTACGTCTTCATCCTTCCATAAGTAAAGTATGTTGATTTAGTGATCAGCTGGCGGCAGCGTGTGAAAAGGAGTATTGGTTTGCCTTCGTGTGCTCTGTGTCAGGCAGGGGCCACGAGGTGCGAACGCCACACTTGTGTATTGCCCTTAGTGATTTAGCTAGAACCTCTGTTCTGAGCAATCTTGGGACATGATAGTAAAGAAAAATATTCATTTTCTTCCATTGTAAGGCAATATCCCTACAGTGGAAGAAACATGCTTAAATTGTAAGATTTCCTCCTCTCTGTGCTTGACTGTATTTCTTTTTAATATTGTAGAATCATACCTATCTTTTGTATGTTATTGTAGGTTTATGGTGCTGCTATCCAGTTTTATGAACCTTACTCAAGAGAGCTGCTCACAGAAAAGCAGCACATGCAGCTGGGCCTCCTGACAGCAGTAGAAAGAAAAGTGGTTACCTCCAAATCCATAAATTGCAACAAGTGCATCTGCCTTCTATCACACTGGCCTTTCTTTGATGCCTTCCGAAAATTCCTAATGTTCATCTATAAGTTGTCTGTTTCTGGGCCACACCCACTTCCAATTGAAAAGTAAGTAACGTCTTCCAAAACTCGGATTTCGAAAAAGAGTAACAGAGTATGACTTTGCCGGTAAAGTTGACACATGCAATAGTTTCATATCCACACACTGCCTCCATACAATTAAAAAGCATCAGGATCTTATTGGTCTGAGGAAGTCCACAAAAACATACCTTAAAATATAGCAGTCTTTGAGGTGCCACAATGTTTTTGTCTTCTTTATTTTTTTCTTTATTTGGCCTGACATGCTAGTACAGACTAATACAGCTGCCTCTCCTAAAACTACAGTTTCTTCTTCGTGGCTTCTGTGAATCCATACAAATGGGTTTAGTCTGCCCCTGCGCTGAACTCCTCGGAATATTCTAGAGCTTTAAACAAGTAACATTAATAATACATTGCCCCTATACCTCAGTTCCATTTTACCACCTTTGCAACTGGAACTTCTCATGCTAGAGCTCTCCTAATTTACCTTTTCTGGTTTTGATCCTCGTTTGACTTCCAATTATTTTCCTGACGTTACTGATCACGGACTTCCTATGACTAAGATTTTGGTTTTCGGATATTGTATATTGTATCTTGGTTTTCAATCATGGACCGTTTTCTGTTTTCCCGCCTTTGAATACTGACTGGACTGTTATATCATGCTCATTCGGGTTGGATTTTGGACTGTTTACCATTTCTCCTTCTTTGATTACAGACTGATCTTTGTGTATTGGGCTTCTTGGTTTTGACTCTGGACTGTTTTACCGTTTCCTGCCTCTGATTACGGATTGTTAATTTTTACTTGTATCACCCTCGACATAGCGATTTTTCTTGCAACTCTACGCTTTGGACTTAGACAATTGTTCTGTTCTCGTGAGTCTCCTCTCCCCTTATCCTGCCCTTCCTGGGGATTTGACCAGTTTATGTCCTCCTCAGGCCCGTTTAAGAGGTGTGTTTTGTGTGCCGGGAAAATACCATTCTCTGATGGCCACAACCACTGTCTTTTTTGCCTAGGGGAGGGACACCAACCTCAAACCTGCGCAGAGTGTAGAAAATTCACTAAGCCCACCTTAAAATCCTGTTTGCAAAGGCTTAGTTTATTTTTGTGGGATAAATCTCTCTCATCTCGTAAGTCTACTCTTATGGAGTCGACCCCGGCTCAGCCATCTACTCCTTGTCCTGAGGTCCTGGTGTCATCCTTACCAGTTACTCCGTTGTCAAAGTCCTCTGGAAAATTGTTAAAAAATCCTCGGGATTGATGCCCAAGAAACCTTCAGCATCAACCTCAGTTCCGAAACCTCCATCTGTAGAAGGTCAAAAGAAAAAGAAGACATTAACAAAACAGAAGAAAGATGAGCATTCGTCTAAGACTGATCAATCCCGAGAGGTCCCTCCTGTTTTGGCAATGCTCCCGTCTCCTATTTTGGAAGACTCCTCTCGGGACCAGCCTGACACAGAATCCCTTTCGGAGGGCATTGCTTCTCTTCCACTTCAGCAGGCTCAGGCTTCGGTATCCATACCGAGCTGTTCTCCGAGCCCAAGCTGCCTAGAGACTAATAACTTTTCCAGCCAGGCTTCTGCCCATTCTAGCCCCGTTTCCACCAGTTGGGCAACAGTTATAAAACTTTTGGATTCAGGGGCATCTCTACATCAGTTCCCTCTGTGGAAGAGAACTTTGAAACGCAGGCATATTTCTCCATCCCAACACTATTCTTCACATCGGGAAGTTGTCGTGCTGCCCAGAGCTTTTCGACAGCGGACTTGAGCAGGGTATGACAACCCCATCTATGTGGAAGTCGAATGAAAGAGTGATCATCGGCGTCAATATACGAGATTGAGGGCTATAATAAAGGATCACCATTGTTCTACCCTGGTACTAAGTACAGGAGCTCCCCAGGGCTGTGTGCTAAGTCCCTTCCTCTATTCCCTGTACACACATGATTGCACCCCACTGTATAACACCAACACAATTATTAAATTTGCGGATGATACGACAGTGGTGGGGCTCATAAATAAGAACAATGAGTCTGCCTATAGAAAAGAAGTACAAGGGTTGATACTCTGGTGTAAAGAAAATCATCTCACACTTAACATAAAAAAAACTAAAGAACTCATAATTGATTTTAGGAGGAAGAGAAATGTACATTTACCACTGTACATAAGTGGTGAGGAAGTGGAGAGAGTTAGTAGTTTTAAATTTCTGGGCACTTACATCTCAGATGGAATATAAATGGCAACATGCTAGTGAAGAAGGCACAGAAGAGGCTGCATTTCCTGAGAATGCTCGGCAAGTTAAATTTATCTCAGCATTTACTTCTGTCATACTATCGTAGCACCATTGAGAGTGTCCTAACCTATGGCATTCTGGCATGGTTTGGGAGTAGCTCTGTAGCGGACAAAAAAGCTCTACAGAGAACCATTAAAATTGCCCAGAATATCATCGGGCTCCAGCTACCAACCCTGGATGACATCTTCGCATCCCGCTGTCTGAGGAAGTCACACAGCATCCTGAGAGATTCTTCCCATCCTGCTTATAACTTTTTTGAACTGTTGCCGTCTGGCAGAAGATATAGAACAATTAAGACTCGGACCACACGTTTTCTGAATAGTTTTTATCCCAGAGCTATAATAGCACTTAATAATGAGCTTAAAGACCATCAGTAGTGAATAGTTAGTTGGACTGTGTTACTTGGCCTGCGGTGTAAATGTTTGTATTTTTAGTGGGGACTTTTAGTGGGTAGGGAGTGTTGGGGGATTTTTTAGTGGGTGGGGAGTGTTTGGGGAATTTTATGTCTGTGCATGTGTCTGGTCTCTGGGTGTCTGTGAATTTCATTGTATGGGTATACTGTGTATATACCTACAATGACAATAAATAAATAAATAAATTAAAAAAAATGCTTCTTCATCCTCTTCTTCTCCATCTCCACCTAGGCGTTGACGTCGAACATATTATGATATTGACCCCCCGATGTCGAAGACGACTAAACACCATGTTGCACAAAGAGAGGTCTCTCAAGTAGTGCCTCCTGCTGAAAAGGTTTGCATCTCTCCTGCAGACACCTTGCCTGCTACTCAACATCAGACAATAACACCACCTTTTCAGCAAGTACCCAAACAGACCGCATCTACACAAGTGCACAGAAAGCGTTGAGTACCACCTTCGCCATCTCCATCATTCCAAGAAGATTCTTCTGTATCCTCGGCTTCCGACCAAGAACAAGAAACACTTTTGGAGGTCTCAGAGGAATCTCCTCCTAATATTCCAACCCCTGATTTGGATGCTGCAGACGTACATCCCTCCTCATCCTATGAAGACTTCATATCCCTGCAGTTGGACGTTGAGCAGCTGCCACCTCCAAAACAAGATCTGGTGTTTGATTATATGAATTAAGAAAGGTCTCTACCTTTGAGTCTTGCCTTTATTCCATCAATGATGGACCTTATTAAAGAATTCTGGAACTTATCTTCTACATCCATGCAAGTGACCTGAAGAGTCTAGGTCAGATGTAGAGCCAAAGTTACTCCCACTAATAGAGAAGGGAGAAAATTGGACGTCTTGAGATGTAAACTTTACTCCTTTGCCACATTCCTATTAAGAGTTGCAAATTATCAGCCAGCCATGAGAGCCTACTGGAGGCAACTTTGGGCTAAGGTGCTTCCTGCTCTTCAAACAGCCCCTGAAGATATTAGAGTTGTGCTCCTTAATGCTCATTCAGAATCAATAACTGTGGCAAAACATCAGAGGTTAGCTTCTCGTCATTCGGCAGATGTTGCTTCCAAATCTATGACGTCTGCAATTGCTTTAAGGAGACATGCATGGCTGAGATCTTCTGGAATCACGGAAGATTCCAAATCCCATATTGAAGAACTTCGGTTTGATACCATTGGTTTATTCAACGAGAAAACGGACTATGTCATGGAAAATTTACATAAAATTAAAAAGACAGACAAACCCTACAAAATCCAACAACTAAGATAACAGAAATGCAATTGGCGCAAGCAGTACGGACACCAACAATACCAACAAACTACCCATCAATCTTACCACCCTTACAAGCCGCCAGTTAAAGGGAGATCCACGCAGGCCTCCTCATCCAGTGTTGTCTTTAGATCTCAAACATCCACCCAACGTCAACAATCATACCGACAACCTACAAAATGTTTGACTCCATCATCACAATCAGCATCTCCCCTCCTCAATCCAGGCTAGCCCCATACTTCCACAACTGGTCTCTTATCACAAAAGACAACTGGGTAGTAGCTATTGTATGATTTGGCTACCTTCTTGAATTTACAGAACTTCCTCCTATCTGTCACCTCAAATTCACATCTTACGCACCTGCACTAGAGGAAGAAATATCATCTCTGCTCCAGAAGCAGGTCATTCAACGCATACTATCTCAAGACATTCCTCATGGCTTTTACTCCCGCTGTTTTGCGGTTCCAAAGAAGGGTGGAGGACTCTGACCGATTCTAGATCTCAGGCTTCTAAACTATTACTTTCATCCAAGGCGTTTCCGTATGGTCACCTTAAATTCCATTATCCACCTTCTACATCCAGAAGATTGGTTCATGGTTATAGACCTGCAGGATGCCTACTTTCATATATCCATTCATCACCTTCGTTTTTTTCTTCATAGATACTGCTTATCAATTTTGCGCCCTTCCTGTCGGCCTGTCCACCGAGCCATGAACATTCACCAAATGCCATCCAAGACACCAAATTTGTTCTTCAAACCCTGAAAGACCTAGGCTTGAAAGTCAATATGAAGAAATCTCACCTCAACCCATCTCAGGTCATGGACTACACAGGTGCGCACCTAGATTCTGTAAATGCAAAGGTCTTCCTTCCACCCGAATGAATTCAGAAGTTATGCCATGCGGTCTGTCCGTTTCACTCTCTTGCCAAGGTTTCCACTCACCACATACAACATCTTCTGAGCCTAATGGCATCGACCACATTTACCCTCCCACATGCGAGACTGAAAATGCGATCTTTGCAGGCATGGTATCTGTCCCAGTTCAATCCT